TTACTTGTACCTACCAAAATCGGTTTTCTTACCCACTTTTTCCTTCCTAATGTGTTTTCACTCTCTCCTTCTCTTATTGTGCTTCATCCTGTCGTGTTCTCCAGGTTGTTTCTGTGTTGTTGTTGTTATTTGTTTTTATCTTTGGTTACTTTTCCATCTCCCACAGGCAAGAAGTACCCATTTTTTTACTTACCTCAGTAACCATTTGAACATTAAAAAGTTAATACTTTTTTAGTTCATAACAGTTGTTTTCCACAACTTCACTTAATTCTCACATCAAATTAGTTTTAGAATGAGGTAATCTAAACTCCCTTTAGTTTTTATTCTTTTAAAGATTTATTTATTTGAGAGAGAGTGCACATTTGCAAGCAGGGGGAGGGGCAGAGGAAGAGGGGGAAGCAGACTCCCCGCTGAGCGCAGAGCCCAACACAGGCCTCGATCCCATGACCCCAAGATCATGACCTGAGCAAAACCAAGAGTCGATCACCCAACCGACTAAGCCACCTAGGCACCCCTAGATTTTATTTTTTAACTAGCTTTCTGTACAAAAGAGAATTTGGGTATCTGATTATTAGTTCTAATAAGTACTGTTCAGAATATACAGTGTTCATTGTGCAGAATCTCTTTCTGTATGATGCCAAAAGAACTAGTGGCTAGCATCAGTGTTTTTTTAATTAAAGTAGCTAGCTTGATTGTGAAGATTTTATTATAACACATTTTATCTGTATGCTGTTTCTATAAAGAATGCTTTAATATGCAATAACCATAGATATTGAACAAAACTGGACATGAAAGAAGTGTAAAAATGGGCAATAAGCCACCTGTATGCTTGTGTCTAGTGTCCAGGGATTAATGCAGTTTGCTTAGTAGCTTGATGGTAGCCATCACAAGGAAGTTATACCATTTTAAAGTATGCAGTCAATTCTTGTTATTTGTGAGAGCCTTTGGTCACAACAGTTTCATCAGCTGATCAGATAGTATATCACCTCGTTTTATGTGTTTTTCTGTAGAAAGGTACCTTATGTGACATATATTGTTGATTCATTGCCATTAAACTCACAGCCAATAGCACTCTAACTCGTACCTGAACAAGACTTACCTAACAACATGTACTTTTCTCCATAAGTCACATCACAGCCTTCTTGTACTTAGGAACACTTGATAGTGTCAACACTATGCTTGGGAGCCATTTTCAACAGTGAAATCACCAACAAAAACTACAAAAATGCCAAAACGTGGCACTAAATACACTGAAAAAAGATAACTTGTCGGCAGTATGAAACCTGAAAGAAGGCAGAGTATTGCTTCTTTACAGCCTCAGCTGGGAATGTAGGTCAGGCAACTCAGATTTTTCACTGCTATATATGTGTCTTTGAATGACTCTGAAAGTGCCATAAAGATTGATTTTGGGGTTACAAATAAATTTTAGTGAGTGGGTGAATTCACAAATAGGAACCCGTGAATAATGAGGATTGACTAAAATTGTTTTATTAAAGCACTGTTTTGGGGGGAATATGTCTCCACAAATGCCCATGCTTAATTCCAATAGGCTTTCAAGATAATAGTTTTTAACTAAAGAACACTTGTTCCCAGTAGCATGTTACTGAATAAACTTAATTTTTATTATAAAAATTAAAATAATAATGATTTGAATATAGAAACCTTATGGTAAAAACAATAAGAACTATAATATAATGCCCTAGCAATAGAACCTTACTTCTACCTACATCATTGTTTCCATGGAAAAATTTATTCCAAATTCCAACTGAGATGCCAAAGCCCTTTAGCTTCTTGAGTCCTTAGTTCCAGTGATGAGCAATCCACCTACAGTGTAGGACTTCCATTTTCCCTCTAGTCTAGTTGTGGGGCTGGGAGCAGAGCCATAGGAGTTGGACTCTGGATGATAAAACGGAAGGGAGTAGTAGGGGCTTCTACCGAGAAGACAGTTTCTTCAAATGACTTCATGAATAACACCGTGATTTTTAGGGAAGCTAGGGGGATGATTGTTAGTACAGCCCCAAACTTGACAGAAGCCATATTTTGAAAATAGTGGTTGTGCTAGAAATAAAATTTTGTACCATGTGGTTCATTGATCTTTTTTTTTTTTTTAAGATTTTATTTATTTGACAGAGAGACAGAGAGAGATCACAAGTAGGCAGACAGGCAGGCAGAGGGAGAGGGAGAAGCAGGCTCCCTGCTGAGCACGGAGCCCAGTTGCGGGGCTCTATCCCAGGTCGCTGGGATCATGACCTGCGCTGAAGGCAGCCACTTAACTGACTGAGCCACCCAGGCGTCCCTGATCTGATCTATTAAGGCATCTTTTTTACTCTCCTTAAGGATTTAAGTTTGAAAGATAATATTAATGGTGTTAAAAGAAAAATGCAGATGCTGGTCTTCTCTGTGATGAGCTGTGGTAGGAAGTCTCTGATCAAGAGGTTAAATACCCTGCAAGTTTATATCAACTAAGCAATATTATTTATGCTCAATGTTTTCCCACAACGTTATTATACTCTGTAATATTTAACAGATGTACATGTGTTCTATGTTCCTTTGTATTCACTTAATGGTTAAAAGTTTGAGGTAAAACAATGATAATTCAAGATAAGAAAATGTGATATACTAAAACTTTTATAGAACTTAGAAATGAACCTCATAAGTTTCTTTTAAATGACAGGTTTCTTTTGGGGGAGGAGGCCTTTAATGAAATCTGTCTTTCTTGCTAGGTTTCCCAAGTTTAAGATCTTTTAATGAAAAATAATGGACTAGGTATTAAATAGATTTTAATTCAGTTTAGCTTTTTAAACTCAGCTGAGTTTTTTATTTAATAAAATAATTTAATTTTAGTATATTAATTTAGTACAATATATTAATGTTTGGCCATTTTTAAATCTTTTTTTCCAAGAGGAATAATACATATTCTATTTTTAGTAAATAGAGCAGCTGACAGAGAAGGAAAAAGATCTTGTTTTAAGTCAGAATTCTTCTGTTTCCTTTCCTTAAGTGGTCTTTAAATGGACTGGAGACAGTAGCATATATAAACCTCTCTTTGTAATTTTGAGTGTGCAACAGCCTATTAAATGCTCAGAGTAGTCTAACTGTAAAGAGACTTGTTTAACTTTATTTGGAAGATTTCTTACATTTCTTTGGCTTTGGAACCCTTCCCCCTGGCCCCCAGAAACTTTAGCATCTCACGGGATGTCATAACTGAGGAACACAGTTATGGAAATTAGCTTGTCAGAGGCAAGTGGCCCTTCTTCTGGGCATATAGGGGGTTACCACCTTGGCACTTCAATGTGTAGGCAGAGGGAGCCAAATCAACACACTGGGAAACAGTCAGTCCTTTCCGTTGTTTTCAGGATGACAAAAAGTATTTTTGTACCTTCTCTGGAGAAAGCAATAGGTTTATTCTCCTTCACTCATGTGTGTTCTGACTCATATACCCAGGTGACAGGTGGCCTAGAACTATCTTAGGTCCTTTAAGAAAATGCACAAGGACTATGTTACTGTTTGTAGTAAATACTGTCTTACTAGACATGTTTTTAGTGTTTTTTAAATCAGTAAGTCATTAATCCTGAAACACCAGTTCCATTGTCGACCTTTAAATAAATTTAAATGTTCATTTTAATTAAATCAATGTTTATTACATCTCATAAACTAGCATTCTTTTCAAAAACCAACAAAAAAATAGGGAGATCATAGGACATTGGACAAACAAATCACAGATTAAAGTTTTAACACAGGAAGAGCTGAGATTTTAAAAACCTACAGGAAAAAGAATTGTGTGCAATTGATTTTTAACCAGCTAATAATAACATTCTAATCAATACAAGAAATCAAGACATTTGGGTTTGACTGTGTGAGAATGTAAAAATTTCTGCTTGGCATATATATATAAGCAGCTAAACAAAAAAATCAAACAATGAGGAAACAGCAAGTGTAACAAAAAGTTGAGGTTTATATAATTAGAATAACTCTTGTAATTTAAGAATACTATCAAACCTCAGTTAAATGAGAAAAGGACAAGCAGTTCATACATGGGGAAGTTGTCAGCCAGTAAAGGAATTAATTTCCATCAACTAATATTTTCTGCACACCTATGCCTTATACTGTGGTTGGTGTTGGAGTTTTAGTGTTGAAGAGGACACTCAGCCCTTTGGTGAAGAGAGGGAGGCAAGGGACACAATAAACAAAGGAATGCAATGGAATTATGAAGATGGATTTACAAATGCTGGCAAGGCTAGGGAAACTGGTTCAACTGGTTTATTATTCAAAAAAATGACAAAAACTTTTTTTTTAACCTTACAAATGATCCTAATTTTTTTTTAAAAAAAAGAAAGGAATAGCATAATACTAAGCGAAATAAGTCAATCAGAGAAAGACAAGTATCATATGATCTCACTGATATGAGGAATTTGAGAAACAAGACAGAGGATCATAGGAGAAGGGAAGGAAATATGAAACAAGATGAAACCAGAGAGGGAGACAAACCATAAGAGATTCTTAATCTCAGGAAACTAACTGAGGGTTGCTGGAGTGGAGAGGGTGGGAGGGATGGGGTGGCTGGGTGATGGACATTGGGGAGGGTAAGTACTATGGTGAGCACTGTGAATTGTGTAAGACTGATGAATCACAGACATGTACCCCTGAAACAAATAATACATTAGATGTTAATAAAAAAATTTTTAAAAAAAAAGGAATAGCTTATATGTTGAGCAGTAGGGCTTAGTCAAATAAGTAAGATTTCTTAGAGTTGCTTTTTGATTTCGTAGAGTTACTTTATGATTAAAATTATAATTATGAAAATTATAGTAATATGAAACAATATCATGAAGAAGTGACTGTAGTTGTATTCATGCTACCGAATTCAGTTCTATAAAATAAGTATGTACATGGTCATTAATGGTAGTAGGATTATGAGATACTAGAATTTATTTTGCATAATACTTAATAGAAGAAATTTGAAGACTCATTTTATTAAAAATGTTTTCTCCTCTTTTTAGCTGACTACACAAGACTGCCTTCCCCATATTTCCATAGCCAGCGACATGACCTGACACCTTGATGACAAGTCTCAGGGCCCTTGGGTGACTGGCTGGTGCACCATGGAACTTAAAGTATGGGTGGATGGAGTTCAGAGGATTGTTTGTGGGGTCACTGAAGTTACAACTTGCCAGGAGGTTGTAATAGCCTTAGCTCAAGCGATAGGTAAGTGGACTTTCTGGGAATCTGAGATAAAGTGGTTTATGCTTCCTCTTGTGGTTTGTTTATGTTTGCTTGTATTAAATATAGATTTCTAGTTTTTTGTTTATTTGGTTCCATAATACAACTTGCAGGTATACTTATTATTATTCCCCAATGCTTAAAGAAATCTGTAAAGACACTTATTCTGTCTCCCCCCAGATTTTACTGATCTTCAGACTAGAGTCTGCATGCCTTCTGCTCTATTGTTGTTTATTCTAAACAATGATTTGTGGAACTGAAGATGTTTTCTTGAGCCAAAACATTCCTAGTTCCCAGACCTCTCATTAGGAAAAATCCTATTTACTGTTTATTCTGACTACTTTCAGAGAAGAAAAATGCAACAAATAGCATGGTCCTTCAATAGAAAGATAATATGTGCATTTTTAAATCTTACTATACAGTGCAGATGAAGTTGTCAAGTACATGCTTACTCCATCTTGTTCACCTACAGTGTTGCAACTTTTCTTCTTAGTCTCAGTTTATCATTTTTATGCATGTTTTTTAGTTGCCTTAACCCTTTTGGAACATGATGAGGGCATAAACACCTATATCAGAAAAGCCAGTAATGTGGGTTACAGCTTATATTTGCATCTTAAGTCCATCATTTAGCAAACATGTATTAAAAGGAAATTGTTTTCAGCACCATGCTTAGTGCTTCTTTGTCTTTGAGCAACTAATCAAGTTTACTTTATGTCGTGCTAGTTTATGTTGGAAATATGTCACGTTTGTTCAGGATTGAGAAAAGTCACCCTGCACCATGACACCTTAGCATTTTGTAGAGACATTTCTGGCAGATACACTGTTAAGAAGTGGGCAGTGCCCTGTGCAAAGATAGAGACTTTCTTTTAATACTGACATTTTTTTATTTTTCCTTAAATACTTTGTAGCACACACATATGTTAAAACAATGCTAAAAATCCTAGGCTTTCACATTCAGTGAAATTTTCTTGCATTTTGGCCTAATTATATTTGTGGACTTAAGTTTAATTATTAAAGAAGGGAAAATAAAGACATTTGATTTTATTTCATATTCTTTGCAACCAACTTATTCAGTAATTGTCCCTTTTACAAGCCTAATAAAGAATTCAAAGGAATGATCATCAAGGTACTCACTGGATTTGAGAAAAAAGTGGATGAACTCAATGAGAATTTCAACCAAGAGAAACTATAAAAAACAACCAGGTAGAGTTGAAGAATACACTAATTGAAATGAAAAATACACTAGAGGGAATCAGCAGCAGATTAGAGAATGCAGAAGAATGGACCAGTGATTTGGAAGACAGGATAATGGAAGGCAACCAACCTTAACAGCAAAAAGAAAAAAGAATAATAATAAATAAGAATAGATTAAGGAAACTGAGTGACATCATCAAGCATAACAGCATTCACATTATAGTGAGCCCCCAAAGGAGAAAAGAAAGGGGACAGAAAACTTATTTGAAGAAATAATTTGAAGAAAAACTTCCTTAATCTGGGAGAGGAAACAGATACCCAGGTCCAGGAATCACAGAGTGCCCCAAATAAAATGAACCCAAGGATGTCCACACAAAAACACATAATAATTAAAATAGCAAAAACTCAAGATAAAGAGAGAATATTAAAAGCAGCAAGAGAAAAGCAAACACATATAATGGACACCGCATAAGGCTATCAGCTGATTTTTCAGCAGAAACTTTTCAGGGCAGAAGGGAGGGGCATGATATATTCAAAGTGCTAAAAGGAAAAAACCTACAACCCAGCAAGGTTATGATTCAGAATTCAAGGAGATAGTTTCCCAGACAAACAAAGGAGTTTACCACCACTAAATTGGCCTTACAAGAAATGTTAAAGGGAATTCTTTATGTGGAAGGAAAAGTTCATAAATAGAAATGAGAAAATTATGAAAGGAAAAAATATTCACTGTTTATAAAAACTATATATAAAGCCAATATGGAGGTTAAAACACAAAAATAGTAAAAATCAATCATACCTGTAAAAATTAGTCAAAGAATACACAAAAAGAAGTAAAATATGATATCATACACATAAAATGTGGATAGGGGAGTAAAAATTTAGTGTTTTAGAATGTGTTCGAACTTAAGTGATTATCAGCTTAATGTAGACTGCTATATATATAGGATGTTATATATGAACCCCATAGTAACCACAAATCAAAATTCCATAGTAGATACACAAAAAATAAAGAGAAAGGAATCCAAGCATAACACTAAGGAAAGTCATCAAACCACAAGGGAAGAGAATGAAAGAAGAAAGAACGGAGAAGAACTATAAAAACAACCAGAAAACAATTAACAAAATGACAGTAAGTATATACTGATCAATAATTACTTTAAATATAAATGGACTAAATGCTCCAAGCAAAAAACATAGAGTAACAAAATGGATTAAAAAAAAAACAAGACCCATCTTGCCTATAAGAGAAAAATTCATATCAGAAGACACTTACAGACTGAAAGTGAAGGGATGGAAAAAGATAATCCATAGAAATGGAGGTGAAAAAAAAAGGTTGGGTAGCAATACTTACATCAGACAAAATAGACCTTTTTTTTAAAATTTTTTAAATTTATTTTATTTATTTATTTTTTTTGACAAAACAGACTTTAAAACAATGACTGTAATAAGAGATAAAGAAAGGCATTATGTAATGATAAAAAGGGTTCAATCTAAAAGCAAATATTAACAGACTTAAAGGGAGAAATTGACAGTAATGCAGTAATAGTAGGGGACTTTAACACCTCATTTATATCAATAGGTAGGTCACCCAGACAGAAAATCAGTAAGGAAACTGGCTTTGATTCTTAGTATATGTGCCCTTTTCCAGAGAGGATACTGAAGAATGAATAAAGGAGTTTTAAAATTAAAAAAAAAAAAGGAAACTGGCTTTGAACCACACATTCAGCCAGATGGACTTCACAGATATATACAGAACATTCCACCCCAAAACAGCAGAATACACATTCTTTTCAAATGAGCATGGAATATTCTCTAGGATAGATCACATGTTAGGCCACAAAACAAATCTCAATAAATTTGAGATTAAATCAAGCATCTTTTCTGAATACAACAGTATGAAACTAGAAATTAATTACAAAGAAAAAAAAAAACTGGAAAAACCCAAACACATGGAGGCTACACAACCAGTGGGTCAGTGAAGAATCAAAGAGGAAATAAAAAAAAAATACATGGAGACAAATGAAAATGGAAACACAACTTCAAAATCTTTGGGACACAACAAAAGCAGTTCTAAGAGGGATAGTTACACCAATACAAGCCTACCTCAAGAAACAAGGAAAATCTCAATCTAACCTTACAACTAAAGGAGCTAGGGAAACAAACAAAGCTCAAAGTTAGTAGAAGGAAGGAAATAATAAAAATTAGAGTGGAAATAAGTGAAATAGAGACTAAAAAGAAAAAAAATCAATGAAAATAAGAGCTGGTTCTTTGAAAAGATCAAATAGTCAAACCATTAGCCAGACTCTGGAAGAAAAAAAAAAAAGAAAACTCAAGTAAATAAAAGTCTGAAATGAAAGAGGAGAAATAACAACTGACACCACAGAAATACAAAAGATATGAGAATAGAATGAAAAATTATATGCCAACAAGTTGGACAATGTAGAAGACATAGATAAATTTTTAGAAACATAAAATCTTTCAAAACTGAATCAGAAAGAATAAGAAACCTGAACAAACAGATTACTGGTAACAACATTGAATTGGTAATTAAAAAAAAATCCCAACAAACAAAAGTCCAGGACCAGATGTCTTCACAGGTGAATTCTACCAAACATTTAAAGAGTTAGTACCCGTTCTCAAACTATTCCAAAAACCAGAAGAGGAAGAAAAACTTTCAAATTCATTTGACAGGGCCAGCTTTTATTACCTTAATAGCAAAACCAGACACTACAAAAAAAAAGAAAAGAAAAGAAAACTACAGGCCAGGATCCCGGATGAATATAGATGTAAAAATCCTCAACAAAGCATTAGTAAACCGAATTCAGCATCACCAAGTGGTATTTATCTCAGGGATGCAAGGATGGTTCATTATTTACAAATCAATCAATGTGATACATCATATTAACAAGAGGGAGGATAAAAAAATCATGATTATGTCAATAGATGCAGAAAAAGCACTTGACAAAATACATCTGTCTATGATAAAAACTGTCAGTGGTGGGTTTAAAGGGAGCATACCTCAACATAATCAAGGTCATATATGAAAAACCCACAGCTAACATCATACTCAGTGTTGAAAAATTGAAAGCTTTTCCTCTAATATTAGGTATAAGACAAGGATGTTTACTCTCACCACTTTTATTCATCATAGTACTAGAAGTACTAGCCACAGCAATCAGAAAAGAAAAATGAATAAAAGGCATCCACATTGGTAAGGAAGAAGTAGAACTCACTATTTGCAGATTACATCATAACTATGTATAGAAAACCCTAAAGACTCCACTAAAAAACAATTAGAACTAACAAATGAATTCAGTATAGTTGCAGAATGCAGAATTAATATACAGAAAGCTGTTGTGTTTCTATACACTAATAATGAAGTAGCAGAAAGAAAAATTAAGATAATCCCATTTACAATAGCACCAAAAAGAATAAAGTACTTCGGAATAAATTAAATCAAGGAGGTGAAAGACCTACACTCTAAAAACTCTTTAAGACTTTGATGAAAAAAATTGAAAGAAAGACAAACAAATGGAAAGATGGACCATGCTCATGGATTGGAAGACTTAATATTGTTAAAGTGTCCATACTGTCGGAAGCAATTTATAGATTCAGTGCAGTCCCCATCAAAATACAAATAGTACTTTTCTCAGAACTAGAACAAATAATTCTAAAATTTGTATAGAAACACAAGAGACCTTGAATAGCTAAAGCAATCTTGAAAAAGAACAACAAAGCTGGAGGTTTCACAATCCCAGATTTCAAGATATACTACACAGTTCATAATAATT